TTGTGTTTTCTTTAAAAAGGAGAGAAATTATTAGTTAACATGCAATTAACTAGTCTTATGAATCGGGAGTAATAATAGAAAATTCTTGAGAATCGCAGGCTTTACATGTTCAATGATATCTTCACTCCAACTAGGCAACGCTTTCTAGTCTCAATCCACTCACCAATATGATCGAAACTTATGTCAAATCCAATATCGCCCCAGCGCCTCCTCTTTTTGTTCGGGATATTGTCAAAAGCGTCTTCATCGTCATCTGTATCAGGAGTCTCCCAACTAACTGCGGCAACCTCGGCAGGTGTAGCGGTTGTACTTGTCGTTGTCGTTTCAATTGTACGGGATATTTGATGGCGGTGAGTTTTCCAGGATGGGCTGGTTGGCGAAGTTGGCGAAGTTGGCGAAGTTGGCGTGGTTGGCGTGGTTGGTATGGTTGGTATGGTTGGTATTGAGGGAGTTGAGGATGCAGAGGTGCGCGATGGAGACAATTGTTCATTGGAGAAAAGTGATGGAAACGGTAAGGTCTTTTTGGATGGTGTGGATGTTGGTAGTGAAGATGTGTGTTGTACGGTCGAGGAGTATGAATTAGGATTGATCGATCGTCTGGCTTTTCGATGGGAATAATATGGGATGAAGCCAGGTAGCGGTGAAATCACTGTCAGCTATTATTTTACGGTAATTGTGAATGTATTGACGATATTTAGTTGTGAACATGGCTTACTCGTTTTTTCTTTTTTATTATGCTGTACACATGAAAATACAAGTTTTTTGCTCTATTTAATTGATAATGAAAGCTATGTTAATATATGCATCAAAAGTTATAATATCAGTTACTGAATAATAATTCAAATTAATATGTGCAGAATACTTTGGTTTATCCTATCCATAAATGAATTCTGCCATCATCGATTTTCTTCATCAGCAATATTTGGACCTTACCTTTCCAAACCATTTTAACAGTTTGCTACCTTTCCGTTTAGTCTCCGATTCTACTTCAGTCATTGTAGACTATTCGGGAATGATTAAAGATTACTGTTGTCGACTTAATCGTTGCTGTGATGCAATTTTGATATGTTTTGCGTGATTTATTGAAAGACGAGTAGTGATGTTTAATGTACAATATATTAAATAAAGTAATGTCTAAATTTTAATATGGTAATAATCGTTGTTATTGTAGTGAAAATTATTGACTGTTCTATAGAGTAGTAGCTTCTTGCAATTTCTTGTATCTTTTCGTTCGAGATCAACTCTGATTGTCAGTATTTTATCAGCACAAGCCAATTCTTTCTTGCCAGTTATAAACCAGCATCCAGGTTACCCGATACTGTTGCCCAAGTTATATTTATGGGCGGGAATTAACACCTGATTCTGCCTTCAGCCGAATAGTGCATTGGAAATGATTGGATTGAAGAGGTACAAGCATTCATTATAACAGTATATGGTTAGGCTGTTCTCATTGACCGCAATATAATTATCACTACTCGTGCCATTTTCGAATAATTCTGCAGCACAAGACAAAGGCTGAGAATAAACAATGATTAAAAAAGAACGGAAAAAAGGGGTGCGAGCAATTTTAAATGTGAAGGAGAATAGGGTAAACGTTTCAAAGCTTGATAACAAACAATGACGGATTGAATGTCAAGGGCCAAAGTAGGCTGTCATTACCAGAAATGCAATGTCCTATGTAGTTTCCTGCACTCCTGTAGTGCATTTTATCCGATGTTTATCTCCGAAACTTCCATTCTGTCAAGTTATTTTGTTGCCCATAAATTACATTATTTGAACCTACCAGTTCACATGTCTCGGAGGATCGCGATATTTCCTCTGGCCATATTACTTGCACTGGGAAGACAGCTTAGAATGTATCTAATGTATGTCTATTATCATTCTTATAAAAGTGACGCCATTATTTGAAATTTAAAGATTAGCATGTGCAACACAGTGTCTGCATAGCAACACATTGACATTATGTTCGGTTTAATATTAATATTAACACTTTTTTCCAGCACGGGCACGATGCGTCAAAACGGCTTAAATGACTTTTTTTTTTGTTATGTTTCAAAAATTGTGCGAAGGCATCAGTTATCAGTACATATATACAGCATATTGTTGTATCATATATTGTACGTTTGTATTCTGTGGGCAGGCTTTAGCTATTAATAGAAAATTTATTCGAGTGAATTCGGTCCGATATCAAATGTTTTAGCCGATTCTTGGTCATCTCTTTATTCTTTGTAAGAAATAGGACTAGTGTGACATCATTATGAATCTGCCATAATTGTCTTCTAATCACAATCCCCATAAGTGAATGCATGCTACGTGGCGTTATATTTCCCATTTACTTGTTTCGTTAAGGGCTTATTTTCTTGTGACCCCGGATTTTTGTAAGCAGAAATCCCGGTTATATGACCACTCATAACTGTAATTAAGCTATTACTAGATCTACAATGTTTATTTGTGACCATGAGTTCAAGTCGAAACACAATGACTAAACTTGGTTAACCTGTACTTTAATCGAAACGAGACTTGAAGTACGCCAGCATCTGAAACAGCAAAGAAAAAAAAATTCAACAAAGGGCCGACCGGTGTCAAATCTATACGTTATACAATTCAATGCTTAATAATGCAATAGATAAGGCATATATTAATGTATGCGTAACATAATATAAAAGGCAAGCCATCAACAAAAACCTTCATATGAAAGCAGTAAAAGCGATTAATTAGCGTACAGTCAACTCTGGCTATACGGCACGAGTGATTTGTTACACGTATGAAAATCGTGTAACCACATAATTGCAAACCTTGTTTCAAATGATTTATAATCGTCGCTACTGACTTTTATGTTGTCCTTACGATTTTGTTCTAAAAACATTAGTGTTGTCTGAATGGCAGAGTGTATGAAATGCTCTTCGGTATCTCTACTTCCTCATTAGTATTAGGACTATCGAATGATTCACTATCCAAATTGATCGTTTACTAAGTCTTCAATCGGGATATTCTTATAAACAATAACATTAAATAGTATTCTTCCAATGATTCATATGATGAGGCCTCTTTAAACATACGTTCAGCTGTCAATTTTCTCACTATATGGTAGGCGATCTATTAAATTCTGCAATAAAGTGTTCTCCTTAAAACCATTCTGCTCTTGTTCTAAATGGTTTACTTCCTCAACGCTTGGTAAAATACCCGCCTTACGCCAGCAATTAACAATAGTTCTTCATTACATGCTTCCGATATCATTTAATAGCATCCTTGATAGTAAACTTATCAATATTAGTATCATTAGCTATTGATTTATCATATGCGTCTACACGACTCTGTATGAACATTTTTTTACATTGTGACTTAAATGACCAAATTACTCCAGCATCGCGGGGTTGCAATATGGCATTGTTCGCGCAGGTAAGAAATGGAGGGTAATATTAGTGAGTTGATTGGGTATCTTGTGACACGCGGCGTTATCAAGTAACATTAATATTCGTCTATCATGTCAATAAATGAAGATCGAGCCCTATTTATTGTAACGTACAAAATAGTAAACTTACTTCACGACGTACCTGCATCCACGCGTTTTGTTCCAATAATAGTCAGCCGGGAAAAGTCTATAGTTGAGTTGTCTCACACACGGGGTGATTAATTAGAAGTGGTAACAATTTTTCCGTTCCAGTTGAGTTTACAGTGAGTATAACAGTAACTCGATTTTAGTTAAAATCCGAATTGGTTCTTGATCCCAATAAAGAGCTGTTTTATCACAATTAAACATATTTTTGGGTTTCCAATTCTTCAACAAGTCATGTAATTTTTAATCGTTCGCATTCGATTTTTCTTCTTGGGAAGGTGCACTGAAAATTTCACCATGTTTTGTTTTTTGAGATATACCTACACGCTCCTTCAAACCCGATAGCCACCCTTCAGATCCTTTAAAGTCAATAATATTCAATGTTCGAGCAAATTGATTAGCTTGTTGAGAATATCAGAGCCGTTGACATCCTGATTTCCTAGGAGCTTTTCAAGCCAAATAGTTATCGCTTGTTCAAGTGCAGGCCATTTTGGTTGTCGGTTCTTGCAGCCTCATTTATTGCAAGCCACTTCCTGCTTTCGCGAATAACATCACCAACGGTGCTAGTACCGCAACCAAACAATTCAACGATTTCTGCATTAGTAAGAGAAGGATTGTTTAGTTTAATTTGACAAATTTTTTTCATCTGCAATTCTGTTAATGAAGTTCTAATGCGTTTAGGCGTCTCTCTATGTCTGTATTAAAATTTTTGGCAGAAATTCCTTGATTTCGCCGGCCGGTATAAAGTAAATCTTTTTATATAATTTATTATCGCCGTTATCAGGAGTGAGATTAATATGGAATTTTTTGGTGAGCGAAATTGGACCGGTATAAAGGCAAAACAGGTATATGCAAGGCCGGTATACCAGAGTTGACTGTAGTCTTAATAAAAATATACGTCATAATGACGTGGTAATCGTCTTTCTGCTGTTGGGTGTATAGCTGGTGCAATGAACTTTTCGTATATGCACACCCTCGCGAACGGGTCAAAGCGTGCATAGAGAGTTGGCATTTTATTGGTTGCATGTGGCTGATTGTCCGCAGAAACCAGTTGCTAAGCACAGAGCAATCACCTGAAGGGCTTGTCTATTTTATTACGTTCAATCGATTGTGCATTAAAATATCTGTTAGAATTTTCTTGCTATTGCAAAAAGGTACGAACAACCACCAAACTGTTTGCAATACTAATAGTTTAAGATCCTCAATAAATCTGTCTTCATTAGTCTATTCTTATCAAGGCTCGTGCAACCAGATGTCAAACAATTATGTTTCAGCCAAATGTACGCTACGAAGTACAGCGGTGATGACCAGAGCATAAAGCAAACAGAACTTGCAGCTTTGTTGTTCTACAAGAAGAAAGTATGTATTCAACACAGCTGTCGCTAATAACGCCACCGATTCAACGCATATTCAACATAGATTATTCAATCGTAAGTGTGATAAAGAACGCATGGGAAATACGTCATATTCTGTCGTGCAACTAATAAGTAATGTCATGAAAATATGGCTGTCTCTTAAATGAAACTTACTGTGTCATTCTTTCGATTTAATTAATTTAGATAAGGCACATTTCCTGTAATACGCGTGATGTTTTACAAAATTTGACCAATAATAATTGTTCAAGAAATTTTTTGGTTTCTCGTTATTCTTCGGTGTTCTGTATGTCCAATACCCTAAATACGCAGGACCTCCCACCCGAAGGAGGATTTCCCTCTGTTCGCTACCAGCGAAACCTTCCCAAGAGAGGCCCGAGTGGGTCTGTGCTATTGTTGGGAGTTACTTTGATATCAGCATATGGACTTTACAGACTAGGGCAGACGAATCTGGAGAGGAGGTAGGTTTGGATGCAGAGTGCAATTGGTGATATTTGATTCTGTATTGGATGCTGGAGAACTTGGTAAGTCGGTGAATAGTAGTGGAGGAATTGAATAATTATGGAGATGCTTCTATTCAAACATCAAGAACAAGACTCACCCCGTCTGTCCCTCCAACACATTCAATTCCATCCCTAGCTTAATTTCTCAGAAACATACCAACGTCTAAACTCTTCTACCGCGACAGAGAACTTGACAGAGAGAAATACTGGTCACGCATCCACCTTATTCCTCTCCTCCAAGCAGAAATGGATCGTGATCTTTATCGACGCACGCTTGCAACTCAAGCACGCGAACAAGAAGTTATGAGCGATGTGCCTGGATGGAAAGTAGGCGAGAAGGTATATCATACTAAGCGATACGTCAAACCAACAGTTGTTGTTATCGACGAGTAGAGAGCGCTATGATGGTTCACGATAGAATCTGAAGCGAGATATTGAGATAATGGAAGGGCGGTTTGAGCATGTTGAAGGAATGGAGAAAGAATGCTATAAAATAGATAGTTTTGGAGTGAATATGAATTGTTTAGAAGCGTGTTGTGTTTCAACAATATGCATGAACGTATATTACATTTATTAGCTCCTAATCTTCAAGCATAACTTAATGAACATGAGAGTTACGGAGGGAGAGCGTATATTTTTTCCTTTCATATACTTTTCCGCCACTAATAAATAGACATTCCACCAACTGTTTATCTGCTCGTTGCTTTGTCATCTATATTAAGAAAGTTCTAGATAGAATTGATATAGCAGCACAATTCCTGAGGCGTTTTATCCACGTCGACACCAGCAGAGCCGACTTCATACATGCAAAATCGATAATTGCAAGAAATCATTCGATTTACACATGAATATTCATTTAAATGTCGGGGCCTCTGGCATAACTAGTAGATTCCGTTTGTCAAATATATATTACAGGCATCTTCTAGGCATAACAATGGTAATATATATTCTAACTCAGAAGTTAGAAGTAATATAAAAAACGTGTTTCATAAGTCTACAGATGGCGATTATTCGCAGGCAGTCAATATCAATTATAATTTGAATAAGCAACTTGCTGATACTTTGGTGATAACTCAAGACAATGAACTGTTGAATTATCTAAACGCACGTACACATTTATTGTTAAGTCAAAGGTATACAAACTGATTACAAATAACCGCGTAGTTAAACGTGATAACAAAAGTATGTCGAAATTAATGTGTCTGCTGTTATGGTCAAAATATCGCATTTATCCAGCCCAGAATATTATAGCTCTTATCATGGTCATTTTATACAATGTGTTGTGCGCAATCATCACTTCGTTTACTAATTTGATTGACAAATGAATTTTTCTCTCCCCAATGGCCAAGACATACGCAGAGCGTGTTGAGAATTTTCAGAATGAGACAGCAAGGAAGCTTCTTCAATGTATTGAGCGTAAGAAGAGCAACCTCTGTGTTGCAGTTGACGTGACAAGAAAGACAGAGTTACTTGATATCGTTGATAAAGTAGGACCATACGTTTGTCTATTAAAAGTAGGTATTTATGTGTGCGTCTGTAGTGTTTATGACGACTTTTGACTTACTGCTTTGTAATCTAGACACACGTAGATATAATTGAGGATTTTGACGAAGACTTGATAGTAAAATTACGTGCATTATCAGAAAGTCACGATTTTATGATTTTTGAAGACAGAAAGTTTGCCGATATTGGTGCGGTTCATATTAATATCGTTTATGCACAAGTGCTAAACTTCACTCGACCTGTATCGTGTTCTACTTAACAATCAAATCACTTTTATTCATGGTAAACAGGAAACACAGTCACTCTACAATACTCGTTAGGCATTTACAAAATATCATCATGGGCACATATTACCAACGCTCATACAATCCCAGGCGAAGGAGTTATCACTGGACTCGCACAGATTGGAAACCCACTTGGCCGAGGGTTATTATTGCTTGCTGAAATGTCATCGGATGGATCACTTGCTACTGGCTCTTACACAGACGCCACAGTTGCTATGGCTCGTAAACATAAGGATTTCGTCATTGGATTCGTTGCGGGGAGAAAGTTGACGGGCGATGACGAGGATTTCGTAGTCATGAGTCCAGGAGTTGGATTGGATGTTAGTGGAGACGCGTTGGGTCAGAGATATCGTACCCCAGAAGACGTTATTGTCAGTAGTGGTAGCGACATCATTATCGTTGGAAGAGGGATATATGGCAAGGGAAGAGATGTGGTGGAAGAGGCTAAGAGATATAGAGATGCTGGATGGAAAGCGTACATGACGAGATTAGGCCGTTAAAGGCCGATTAAATAGATTACGAGCCAGGTAGATTAGAGGAGAAAAACACATAAAACCGGTAAAACATAAAACGCTGATTGAGAAAGAATTTTTAATTTGGTTTCCAAGTTCAAAAAAAGCTTTTGACGACCATTAATTAGAATTATTTAAAAAGGCTAAATTTGAGAAAAAAGAACCCAATGGAATGCCATGTTAATAGATGTTGTCTATATTGAATCCCAGCTTGTTTCTATGTGGTTGCTAATACTAATGGTTTTTTCTTATAAGAAACACCTGACCTCACTGTGGCTTCAAATGGTGTTTGCAGCTTTCCATTTAGCCAAAAAGAAAGAACCCCTATTACTATTACTATTTCTCCAATCCTACCAACTGCTTTAACTTTTGATAAACAGAGTCACTCATATCACTATTATGTATACACTTCTAACTTAAACCACTCATCATTCAATACAACTATCACAACTTGGAAATTCCTGATCTTTAAATGTTCTTTGATCCTTCTACCTGCAGTTGAAAGCTCAAATGTAAAATCATTAAAACCAAGTAAAGGTCACAATTTTCGCTGTATCCTTCTGATACTGTATATTGGAAGGCCAATAATCCAGATGAAACATTGGTACTTCCCCAAGACATCTTGAGTGCTCATAGTCTGCTAAATGCCAAGTCTTATTGTGTTCTAGAATGTTGTCCCGATGTACAATGCCTTCATGATGAAACAATGACTGCTAACACAAATTAATATAAAAAGAGCAAGAAACAGCTACACAAACGATATAACTTGCCTTTCCTATGAAGTTCATTTATATTTAACCCACTTAGACCAATCTATTGCAATACATAATTTACTATTACTAGGTTGTTGATGGTGAGTAAGCAGCCCTGATAACTGAATAAAGTATTAGTACTCCTGATCCAAACTGAACTTTTCTCTTTTGAGTTATGTATTCTTGGACCTTCCTTTACAAAATAATGAATTTTTTACTGCCTTATATTAATATGCTTCACTCATAATGTAGTGGTTTCACTATACATTCCACCATGGCAAACATTTAATATTGACATTGCCCAGTTTATAGGTGAAAAGACTGATGTTGACAACATATATACATAAAGATCTATTGTATTGTGACATTTACGTTAGTCATACTTCTGACATTATTATAAACGCTACTCAATACCATGTTAATAACACAATTTAAATACCATATTAATTTGGGAAGTTTGTCTAGTCTCCCGGGACATCGTAGATGTTTCTGAATCTTCTAATTTGCTCATTGAAGAGAGAAATAAAATTGTATGGATCGCTTTTATACTCATATAATTTCTTATTACGCAATCGTTCTGGAAATTTCGAGAACTATATTACGGTCAATGTGCCTCAGTTTAAAAAATTTTAATAACTACGAAACTACGTGGGTGGTTCAAAAAATTCTTACCACATGTTTTACAATAGCCTATCCTTAAATTTCTCTTTCTCTGCTAAAAATTGTCTTTCTGCCAATTTACCAGCAATTCTCATGGCTCCCAAGGTGAGTTTAAGCTCCTTCTTTGAGTTCTCAAATCATTTATAACTCTTCATAAAAGTCAAAAAATGTTTGATAAATCAAAAAGTGTTAATGGCCGGACTTTCTGCATCAAAGCCCACATTCTCTTTACTATCTTTATAATAACTATTTTACAGATTCCACAAACCTTATTCAAATTTTTGTGTAAAATTTTGTTTGTAATTCTTTTATTTATTCTTTTAATATATTGAAATAAAACACTGTTAAGTAACAGTATACTAACGAAATTCCCGTATATCGAAAACAAAATTGTTGACAGCCGGAAAGTCTTAACACAAATTTCAACGTATATTATACAACAATTAATCATATACTACGTTTATCGTACAAATATCTAGCGACTCGAGACTGAGTACCAAATTTTGCCCTGTATTCATATACACCATTGTTTATTGAGTATTTTCAGGCAATACTTTCAAATGCATGGAGAGCTTTATTCAGGTTTGTTGTTAGACAAATAGTTAAAATTTTCTCCTGAAGAGATTAAAGGGTTATTTTTATAATATACACATTTTTACAAATTAAGTTGTATTTTAAAAGGTGCGAAGTAACTGTTAAATTTGTGTTAGATGCGTATCTCACATTATTAATTATGTTGTGTAACTGGAACGTATCTAGCAATAGATAGTGGAAAACCGGTACAGTCAACTGCCGATAATTCGACTTTCCGGTAATTCGATCGCCTTGAGTAAGACCCGATTTTTTCGTATGATTTTTCTTCCTTTTATTCAATCGAACTTATAAATTTTCGATCATTTGTTAATTCGATCGTTTAAATAATTTCTATTAAGCCAGTGCATATAAATAATACTATAATTCCGTCCGTTAATTCGACCACAGTCAAATCATTTTCATTTAAGGGTTAATTGATTGATTATTCGACCGGTTGCATTGTTTTGTGATAAAAAATTACGATTATCCGACCGACATTAATATAATAAAAATTTCCCATCATACGTTATTTTTTTCTCAAAATGCCTCGATCGAAAAAAAATCACTTATACTTATGTTACGTTGAGCGCAAGAGATATGTCAGCGAAAGCTAAAAACCCTCAATTATCTAACTCGGAATTAGGCAAGAGTATTGTGTAGGAAAAACAACCGTACAGAATATCATAATACAATCAGAGAAATGGATGAATATCGATATAAATAAACCTTATCTAAACGATTAAGAAATCGAAGGCCAAAATGGCAAACGCTGGAAGAAGCCCCATCAAATATCAAACTTAAAACAGAGGATTTGACAGCCATCAGGCGTATTATCAATCAAATTGAATTAAATCGTTTGTCTTCACTTAAACAACAGTCTATTACACATTTTTTATGTTAAATTTTACCCTCTGAATTGTAAACAGTTCAATTAAGAATCTGGGGTATTTTTTGGACG